TTTCATCTCTTTCTTTATTTCTCTCTCCTCTCTCTTCCTTCTCTCTTTCCCTCTCCTTCTTTTTCTTCTTTTCTCTCTCTTCCCTCTCTCTTCTCTCTTTCTCTCTCTTTACTCAGACCTAAGATAGGTTCGAGCTTCCTCTTCTCTCTCTCTTCACTCAGACCCAAGGCAGATCTGAGCCTCTCACTCTCTCTTCCCTCTCTTTACTTTCTCATTCTCTTTCTTAGTGTCCACTCTCCCTTTCTCTTTCACGTTTAAAGCCCCAGCCTCACACCTAGGGAGGGCCAGACTTCCCTCTTTATCCTCTCTCCCCGCTCATCTAGATCACAGACCCGCGCCTTATGCAGGTTTTTTCTCTCCCTCTTTCTCTTTCCTTTACTCTCTCACTCCCCTCTCTCCCAAACACATGGACCTGCACCCTAGGTAGGTCCATCTCTCCCCTCTCTATTCTCTTATTGTTTCTCTCTCCCCCCCTCATCAGTTGACTGACCCGCGTCATAGGCAAGTCCATCTCACCCATCTCTATTCTGTCATCGTCTTTCTCTCTCTCTCTCTACCTCATTAGTTGACGGACCCAGCAGGTCCATCCTTCCCCCTCTCTACACTCTCATTTTCTCTCGTCCTCTCTTGTCCCACCAGGTCCTGGACCCGCACCTAAGGCAGTTCCACCACTTCTTCACCTCTTTAACCCCATACATACGCCTCCTTTTCTTGTTTAACTCACATACTCACTTCTCATTCAACTATTTCCATTTCTATTTTATTTCATTCTTTCTCCATTCTCTCTCATTTTTAAATACTGTCTTCTCTATCTAAATCATACCTCAACTGCTCATTCATTTTTACTTCATCATTCTTTTATTTTTCTCATTACTCATTGTTTCTTTCACCTCTTGAACACTCGATTTGTGGTCATCCCGAGATAGTGCCCTAAGGTTTTAACTTTTGGATTGTTACTCTAACCATCAACTCGTACAATGAAATCAGGTCATAATAGACATTGATTATCTTACACTCGGTCACTTGGGTTGGGGTCATCATGAGTTGGCTTTCATTAGAGTTATAACCATTTCACTACTCTAACCACTAAGTCGCATAGTGTTTGGGTTGTGGGAGCCTTTTATCTCTCTTCTCTCTCTCTCTGTCGCTAACTTTCTTCTATTCCTTGATCACATTCATGGAGTTCTTTGGTTTGGTGGTATAATTATAGGCTCAATACTGTAACTCCACTTTCCTAATCCTCTGGTTATCAAGGCGTTAAGCCTAGTGCTTTTTCTTATCTACGGTAATACCTCTTAGGAGAGGTTACATCAGGAGGCTGCTCAATTTTCTTTAGGTCGTATCTTCACTTTTATCATCTTCTTCCACTAACTTCTAAACCATGCTCTCATTCTTATTCTCTTCTTTCTTCCCTCTCTTTCTTATTTCTTTAACCACTTCACCCTCTAAACTAGAACCGTTGACTCAAAAGAAGCACATCAAAGAGGAGTACATTATATTTGGATATCATTAGCAGTTTTCAAGTGAGAGTCCAGGCGGAGTGTTGGTTTTAGAGAGGGGATCAAATTCAAACCGCACTGCTGGACAACCAGAAGGCCTTCGTTCATTGATCTAAGAGGGCTATAACCTGGGCTTATCCTACGAACTCAAACCACGGTGAGGTAGGTTCGAGTTCATCTCTTCATCGCTCTAAAATCCACTTATAATTGGACATACCTATCCGCACGTGACTCACAAGACACATATGCTTGTGACGGTCAAGGCAATTGTTCGAGAGGGGGTCGATGAACCTGGGTCCCCGAGGGAGCCCGAGCGAGGTAGATCTAGGCTCGATTAACTGAAGACTCCATTGGGGTGTAAGCCACCCTATAGTTGGTTCCGTCCGCTCTCAAACAAACATTTCATCTCACTCTCTCTTAAAAATTGTATGGAGTCCAATTACTCCTATCTCATCCGAATTAGGGATTTCATCATTCCCACATTCACGAATGTACTTATGAGAAGTAAGATTTTTCAATGTACTACTCTCATGTATCTTTTGAGTGGTCTCTCTGACCCTACTACCTGAGCTCAGGCTCAGGGAAATTTGAGAAAGGGACCTCTACTCCCTCTCTATCGGTATCAATGGGAAGCCCATTACTGTAAATTGCATGAGTGGTTCTAAAACCGCCACCCTTCATGCTCACACTGCTACTGATGGACTTTCCATCAGTCATAAGCTCAAGAGTGGTTCTAAGACCACTCCCTCTTCTCTCGTAACTAGTTCTTCTAACCCCATTCCTTCAATGGGTAATCACAAGGTTATCCCATTTTCACTCCACACGATCACTACTCGTATTGGTATGTTGCCCCACACACATCATGCTGACAGTTCCCTAGCCAAACCACCTCACTTGAATGGCTTCAAAGCCATTCGACACACACTTACACATGTCACGGCAAAGGGCTCAGCCATGCTGTGATGAATCAGGGCAAGCAGAAGCTTACCCCTGTCACTTCACTCACTTCACGCGTCTTGGGACCGGACCCATTAAAATTGGCTCTCAAGCCATTCATGCATTGCATAATATTCAAACAGCTCAGGGCAGTTTGAATACTCTATGCGAAGGATTGCATCAATTGCATAGAAGGAATAAGAATCCAAAAAAGGTATGTGATTTCTATCTAGTATGTTATTTTTGTTTTCCACTGCTTTCCGATTTCACTGATGAATCCTACAAGCTTGTCCTTGAGTTGGCTCTTGTCAAGAGAAAATAGAGATATGGTGGGGTGAATATGAACGACCACACACAATAATCGTATAAGATTTGACACACAATTTTCGTTGTTAGCATGTACTATATTATATATTTGATAAAGTCACTGATTTTGACCAAGAATCGACTAGGTCAACAGAAACTCCAATAGACAAATTTTGAAATACTACAAAAAATTTTAAGTGATGCATAATTTGTTGAAGAAGGGATCTACATCACTTTCCCTTTTTGAGAGGCCTCCCTCCAGCATAGAAAGAGACAAAGAGACATCCTTCATATTGGAAAATAATAGATGCACATGATTTTGGATTTGAAATTGGCTAAGACCAAACCAATTCTAGAAGGTATTCGTACCAACCCCTCCCACCCAAAAAATGACCCCCTTTCAATTTTTTTCCTCTTAGTTTAAAGCTTATTGTAGATACCCCGATCTCGACTAGAGAAGTTATGGATATGTTGAAATGTTATGGATATGTTGAAGTTATCTCAATCTTATCTCTTCCATTGTATCTTATTACTTTTATTCTCATCTTGTACTTATATCCCTTTGTCTCACTAGTAGATATATCTTTTCCTTTCTTCTTCATATTCATTTCCTTATCTCTATAGTCTTATCTCTCTCATTTTATATGATGCATGCTTGGTTTAGCCTTATCTCCTTATCTTCTTATTTTTTTTGCACATCATAGTTAGATTCTTTATCTCCGTGTATTTCTACTTCCCTAGTTTAGTTGTTTATTTGTGGTTTTTCTCTCTTGTTCTCTTTTAAATCTATTTTCTTAAAACCATCTTCTAATCTCCAAACCCCTTTTCGAAAGCTTTCTATTTGAATTCCAACGTTGAAATAAGAGTGAAGCCTGGCAGTCCGAGAGAGATAAGGTCCTCCCTCGGAACGTAATTTGACGGGACTAATAATCTTCCAACTCTTCGATTTGTTAGCACTCGAAGTCCCTTGCCCATATGTTCGAATATAAACACTTATGTAATGTTTTTCCAGACCCCCTAAGTTGCCCCTCATAAACCCCTATTTTATTTTATTTTTTTTATGGATTGGCAATTCGGACCAATCCAAACCGATCTAGATTGGTGATCCAGAGTTTCGACACAAATCTGTGAGGTGGACGATCCATATTACAGATCAAAGTTTTGAAACACTGAGGGGAGAGATCTTTCTTATTTTTTTAGATGCACATGAAATAAGGTAATAGTATCCTAAATCTTAACTCTTTCTTGGATGCCTGAATTTTGTTTCTTGGATAGTAATGAATTACTATAACACATGTTATCTCCAAGGGTAATTTATTTTAAGGGAATTTGTTAAAATACACTTGAAGTAGTCCGAAAGGATATGAGAACTCATGTCATTACTGAGGGTATGGTCTCTAATAGAACAGAATGACGGACCAAGATTTATGTAGCCTACCCCATTTAATTGGGAAAAGGTTGTGATGATGATGATGATGTTAAAATACACTTGAGATTAGCTACTTCATATATTTACTCGTATGCTATGCATTTATTTCAAATGTCAATCAAAATGCACAT